AGGGATTGCTACAAGCCTCCTACGACCAGTAGGAGATCCTACATTGCCTCCTACGACCAGTAGGAGATCCTACATTGCCTCCTACGACCAGTAGGAGATCCTACATTGCCTCCTACGACCAGTAGGAGATTTTACATTGCCTCCTACGAGCAGTAAGAGATCCTACATTGCCTCCTACGAGCAGTAGGAGATCCTACATTGCCTCCTACGAGCAGTAGGAGATCCTACATTGCCTCCTACGACCAGTAGGAGATCCTACATTGCCTCCTACGACCAGTAGGAGATCCTACATTGCCTCCTACGACCAGTAGGAGATCCTACATTGCCTCCTACGACCAGTAGGAGATCCTACATTGCCTCCTACGAGCAGTAGGAGATCCTACATTGCCTCCTACGACCAGTAGGAGATTTTACATTGCCTCCTACGAGCAGTAGGAGATCCTACATTGCCTCCTACGACCAGTAGGAGATCCTACATTGCCTCCTACGACCAGTAGGAGATGCTACGTCAAGCCTCCTACGACCAGTAGGAGATGCTACGTCAAGCCTCCTACGACCAGTAGGAGATCCTACATCAAGCCTACGACCAGTAGGAGATGCTACGTCAAGTATTCTACGACCAGTAGGAGATCCTACATTGCCTCGTACGACCAGTAGGAGATTCTACATCAAGCCTCCTACGACCAGTAGTAGATGCTACGTCAAGCCTCCTACAACCAGTAGGAGATGCCACGACAAGCTTAAAAACACTGAAGACAGTGAGGGGCAGAAAATTCTCATTTACAGTGATAGCGGAGCTCCCATCACTGAAGCGAGGGGGACGGGTAGGTGTATGAGGTCACCAGGTGTAGAGGAAGGTCACCAGGTGTGGAAGGAGGCCACCAGGTGTGGAGGGAGGTCACAGGTGTGGAAGAAGGCCACCAGGTGTGGAGGGAGGTCACCAGGTGTGGAGGGAGGTCACAGGTGTGGAAGAAGGCCACCAGGTGTGGAGGGAGGTCACCAGGTGTAGAGGAAGGTCACCAGGTGGGGAAGGAGGCCACCAGGTGTGGAGGGAGGTCACCAGGTGTTGAGGGAGGTCACCAGGTGTGGAAGGAGGTCACCAGGTGTGGAGGGAGGTCACCAGGTGTGGAAGGAGGTTACCAGGTGTGGAAGGAGGCCACCAGGTGTGGAGGGAGGTCACCAGGTGTGGAAGGAGGCCACCAAGTGTGGAAGGAGGTCACCAGGTGTGGAGGGAGGTCACCAGGTGTGGAGGGAGGTCACCAGGTGTGGAAGAAGGTCACCAGGAGTGGAGTGGTCGCAAGATCCTCTCCGCTACAACAAATCACCAACATGGCTGCTCTGCACTAGCTACAGGAACACTATACATATTCTCACCAAGACGTAACCGTGTCGCGGATGCTGTTCAATGGGAAATAAAACACGAATACAAATTAAATTGCAATAAATAAGAATCGTAAAAAAGATATAAATTCAACAAAATGACACAAAATATAAATGATTCATTATATAAACAATTGTAATTATTAACATGCCAAAAAAATATTATAGTTTAAAAGGTAAACTATTATAATATAAGGGGGCCTATGGTAAATAAATTTAATATTTCAAACTCTACAAATTCTAAAATTATAATTCAGAATGTTTAAGTTTGGCTCCTATGATTTAAATTATATTAATGATAGTAGTTTTCTAGAAAAAAAAATATTAATGTTTTAATATTTTTATTAAATATTAAAACATTTGTATTTTTAAAAACTAATTACGTACATTAATAAAATTTACATTAAGGCCTTAAGTATTACCAAAATCAAAGTTTAATTAGAAAACGGGAAGCGTGAGCTAAATTATAATATAGAGTTAGTGATTGTCAGAAGACCAAAAATATCTATATAGGCAAAAGACCCCTGATAAGACTGTTTATGATGAGTCCCTAAGATATGTTGCAGGTGTAGACATATCTACACCTGTGATATCACAATCGACATGACCCAAGATAGGTCCAGGTGTAGACATATCTACACCTGTGATATCACAATCGACATGACCCAAGATAGGTCCAGGTGTAGATAGAGAACTCAAGCGAACCCAAAGAGCCATTGAGGTTCCAAAGGACCCAGAGGTGCCACAAAGCTCAATAGGTGCCAAAGGACCCAACAGGAACCGAAGAACCCAACAGGAACCAAAGGACCCAACAGGAACAAAAGGACCCAAGATGAACCAAAGGACCCAAGATGAACCAAAGGACCCAAGATGAACCAAAGGACCCAAGATGAACCAAAGGACCCAAGATGAACCAAAGAACCCAAGATGAACCAAAGGACCCAAGATGAACCAATGAACCCAAGATGATCCAAAGGGCCCAAGATGAACCAAAGGACTCAAGATGAACCAAAGGACCCAAGATGAACCAGAGAGCCCAAGATGAACCAAAGGACCCAAGATGAACCAAAGGGCCCAAGATGAACCAAAGGACCCAAGATGAACCAAAGGACCCAAGATGAACCAAAGGACCCAAGATGAACCAAAGGACCCAAGATGGACCCAAGATGAACCAAAGGACCCAAGACGAACCAATGAACCCAATATGAACCAAAGGACCCAAGATGAACCAAAGGACTCAAGATGAACCAAAGGACCCAAGATGAACCAAAGGACCCAAGATGAACCAAAGAACCCAAGATGAACCAAAGAACCCAAGATGAACCAAAGAACCCAAGATGAACCAAAGGACTGAAGATGAACCAAAGGACCCAAGATGAACCAAAGGACCCAAGATGAACCAAAGGACCCAAGATGAACCAAAGAACCCAAGATGAACCAAAGGACACAAGATGAACCAAAGGACCCAAGATGAACCAAAGAACCCAAGATGAATCAAAGAACCCAAGATGAACCAAAGAACCCAAGATGAACCAAAGGACGCAAGATGAACCAAAGGACCCAAGATGAACCAAAGAACCCAAGATGAACCAAAGGACCCAACAGTAACCAAAGGACCCAAGATGAACCAAAGGACCCAAGATGAACCAAAGGACCCAAGATGAACCAAAGAACCCAAGATGAACCAAAGGACCCAAGATGAACCAAAGGACCCAAGATGAACCAAAGGACCCAAGATGAACCAAAGAGCCCAAGATGAACCAAAGGACCCAAGATGAACCAAAGAACCCAAGATGAACCAAAGGACCCAAGATGAACCAAAGAGCCCAAGATGAACCAAAGGACCCAAGATGAACCAAAGGACCCAAGACGAACCAAAGAACCCAAGATGAACCAAAGAGCTCAAGATGAACCAATGAACCCAAGATGATCCAAAGGGCACAAGATGAACCAAAGGACCCAAGATGAACCAAAGGACCCAAGATGAACCCAAGGACCCAAGACGAACCAAAGGACCCAAGATGAACCAAAGAGCCCAAGATGAACCAAAGGACCCAAGATGAACCAAAGGACCCAAGATGAACCAAAGGACCCAAGACGAACCAAAGGACCCAAGATGAACCAAAGAGCCCAAGGAACCCAAAGGATAACCAAAGGACCCAAGATGAACCAAAGAACCCAAGATGAACCAAAGGACCCAAGATGAACCAAAGGGCACAAGATGAACCAAAGGACCCAAGATGAACCAAAGGACCCAAGATGAACCCAAGGACCCAAGACGAACCCAAGGACCCAATGAACCCAAGATGATCCAAAGGACCAAGATGAACCAAAGGACCCAAGATGAACCAAAGGACCCAAGACGAACCAAAGGACCCAAGATGAACCAAAGAGCCCAAGATGAACCAATGAACCCAAGATGATCCAAAGGGCACAAGATGAACCAAAGGACCCAAGATGAACCAAAGGACCCAAGATGAACCCAAGGACCCAAGACGAACCAAAGGACCCAAGATGAACCAAAGAGCCCAAGATGAACCAAAGGACCCAAGATGAACCAAAGGACCCAAGACGAACCAAAGGACCCAAGATGAACCAAAGGACCCAAGATGAACCAAAGAGCCCAAGATGAACCAAAGGACCCAAGACGAACCAAAGAACCCAAGATGAACCAAAGGACCCAAGACGAACCAAAGAACCCAAGATGAACCAAAGAGCCCAAGATGAACCAAAGGACCCAAGATGAACCAAAGAGCCCAAGATGAACCAAAGGACCCAAGATGAACCAAAGGACCCAAGATGAACCAAAGAGCCCAAGATGAACCAAAGGACCCAAGATGAACCAAAAGACTCAAGATGAACCAAAGGACCCAAGATGAACCAAAGGACCCAAGACGAACCAAAGAACCCAAGATGAACCAAAGGACCCAAGATGAACCAAAGGACCCAAGACGAACCAAAGAACCCAAGATGAACCAAAGGACCCAAGATGAACCAAAGGACCCAAGACGAACCAAAGAACCCAAGATGAACCAAAGAGCCCAAGATGAACCAAAGGACCCAAGACGAACCAAAGAACCCAAGATGAACCAAAGGACCCAAGATGAACCAAAGAACCCAAGATGAACCAAAGAGCCCAAGATGAACCAAAGGCCCCAAGATGAACCAAAGGACCCATAGGGACCTTTGAGACCCGCAGATAGGCTACAAGACCTAGGAGAACAATCACCACGACAATCCCAACATGCTTATACCCTGAGATTGAGTTTTTGAATTCCACCTCATGCAGAATACTGTCAACTTAAACTCGAGAAAACCTCAGAAGCTTAAATACGAGGAGAATTATTTATCATACAATGAGTAAATAATGAATTTCCGTGTTACTGTGAACGGAAAGTACTAAGTAATAATATAAATAGACTTGATTTTGTAGGATAGTCAATGGTAGATAATAATGAGGTGGCTAATATGGTACCTGGATGATGAAGTAAAAATAGAGAGAGAGAGAGAGAGAGAGAGAGAGAGAGAGAGAGAGAGAGAGAGAGAGAGAGAGAGAGAGAGAGAGAGAGAGAGAGAGAGAGAGAGAGAATTAAGGAAGGAACGAAGGAAGACATACTTACCGCTATGTCAGCGTAGACACCGGTCCAGACGTGCGGGTGAGTTGACTGATACATCACCAAGGGTCGGGCCATCACCGGGATGTACTTCAGAACCTGCTCTCTCACCTCCGCCAGCGTCGTCACGTGCACGAAGTAACCTGATGTAGGAGAAGGTGAACCAGGAGGTGTTTGCTGGCTCTCGTCAGAGTGTTAGGCTACTTGGTGTTGGCTCAAAATCCTTAGGAATGTTGGTAGGCTCGTGGTCTGCCAACCTCTGCTGAGTTATTAAGTATATTTTTATATAGTAAAACGGTAAGTATATTTTTCCTGGACTAAAGTAGATTCTTGGAGTATACGCGCCTAGAAATGGGATATAGTTATAGGCGTTCATAGTACTGAAACCACTACTACACCAGCGGTCGACTCATTATAAAAGTGAAGTGGTTTCAGTGTTATGTCCGCAGGGGATGGGGGTAAGTCCTGGCTAGACAGGTTCCTACAACTTGTCGGGTAATGTTTCTATCCGCATAGGAAAAAATCAACAAAAATTCCAAGCGCTTTTGTGTTTGAAAAGATTTTCAAGGAATACAGAAAATGTGTTGAAACACGAAAGCGCTTGGAATTTTCATATCATTTTTTATATATATATAAAGCAGTAATAGTCATGCCAACAATATAGGATATATGGAATGAGAGGTTTACCCAGATTCTTGGTGTATATATACTAACAGTTTATTAAAGTCTCTCTGTTCGGGATTACAATATATATATTGGCTGTTCAGTTAAATCCTGTGGCCTCAATAACCTTCCCGAGGTTGAAAGGCCCTATACGCCCATTACCAATAAATGACAGCAACTCCAAAATTACCTTTATTTGCACATGCCATCCAGTTGAGGTCCCGGACCTTGGTTTCCTCGCGGCCAATCAGGTAGGTAAACATTCGCACCTGTAGGTGAGGCCAGTTATACTTGGCGAAGATCTCCTCGAAGTTGTAAGGCGCTCCGTCAGTCACTACCATGATGGCTTGGTTACACTGTGATCCCTGACCGCTCTTGTTATACTGTGTGTGCCTCTGTAGGTAGGTAGTGTTATTATTTAGTGGACGCTCTCGGCTGCTGCCTTACTCACCCACACGACCAACAGAATCTTATATCTATCTCTTTCTCTCTCTCTGTCTCTCTCTCTTAAGTTGTTTTTTAATTTTGTGAGGGAGAAAGAGGGAAGGGGTGCTAAGTAAGGGGTAAGGGGGCAGAGTGGATATAGGGTGATTTCTAATTGTTGCAAGTATGATAAGAGCCAAGTTGCAAGGGAATCGTAGCTATGTACTTTCATGCACCACTGGAGATATGTAGTCATTAAACAGGCTTGACCTATTCTCTTGTACCAAGACTAAGTAAAGATACTGCATGCTTCATTCACTGAAATCATTTACAAGAACAGGGATACAGTTCCTACAGTAGTTTGTCAGTAATAAGATTATATATGGATTCGAGCCTTCGCCGTCCGGGTTCGAATCCTTCAGGGGTATAAAGTTTTCTGATGCATGTTAGCTTGGGGGACTATTCAAGCATTACCATGATTGTATATTTTAATTAACTCAAATTTGTCTAAATAATTTAAGAATCTTTTATAATTTTAATATAATAAAAAATAATTAATTTAACATTTCTTATATAATTATGATGACAGACAGAATAATACAAAATTAATTTAATTACAGTATTTTTCACATTATTTTTTTAAATTAATTGTTTGCTAAATGATTTTGAATTATTTACTTATTTATAATTAAGTATTGTTATGAAAACTTTTGTTTACAGACTCCATCCGGATTATCGCTATCATGCTTTTCATCAAAACAAATGCTCAGACTTCACATATGGAATAAATGCTTAGTATTTAAGTTTACTAAATACAAATGAAGATTGATTTATGACTGACATAAATGCTGGTTCATGTGAATATATATAAAAACATGTATTAATAATTACATAAATACAATTTCCACATATTTCCCTGTTTGTTGTAATTAGTGTGTGCCAAGGTGTGTTTGTGTATGTTAAGATGTGTTTGTGGCAATCTTTGTACCAAAACGTTTGCTAGAAATAGATAGACAAACATACACAGATAGATAGAAAGAGATATACGGAGACAGGCAGATATGAAAAAAACAGAGGGAGGCAGAGACTGAGAGACAGACAAGCAGATATAGAGGTAGATAAATATAACGAGACAGAGAGGGAGACAGAAACCTGCAGAGAGATTGTCACAATGGGGGAGAGAGAAAGAGTGTGATTGACAGAGAGACAGGAGATAGAAACAGAGACAGAGAAAGAGAGAAACAGATAAAAGAAACAGTGACAGAAAGCAGAAAGGGACAGGCTGTACACAAATATCTGTGGGTATCCTAGTATATATATATATATAAATATATATATATATATATATATATATATATATATATATATATATATATATATATATATATATATATATATATATATAAATATATATACTCACCTAGTTGTGCTTCCCGGGTTGAGCTCTGGCTCTTTGGTCCCGCCTCTCAACCGTCAATCAACAGGTGTACAGATTCCTGAGCCTATTGGGCTCTATCATATCTACACTTGAAACTGTGTATGGAGTCAGCCTCCACCACATCACCCCCTAATGCATTCCATTTGTCAACCACTCTGACACTAAAAAAATTCTTTCTAATATCTCTGTGGTTCATTTGGGCACTCAGTTTCCACCTGTGTCCCCTAGTGCGTGTTCCCCTTGTGTTAAATAAATAATCTTCTAATCGTTAAATAAATTGTTAAATAAATAGATAAATAGTCTTTATCTACACTGTCAATTCCTCTGAGAATCTTGTACGTGGTGATCATATCCCCCCTAACTCTTCTGTCTTCTAGCGACTTGAGGTTTAATTCCCGTAGTCTCTCCTCATAGCTCATACCTCTCAGCCCGGGTACTAGTCTGGTGGCAAACCTTTGAACCTTTTCCAGTTTGGTCTTATGCTTGACCATAAGACCATATGTGTGTGTGTGTGTGTGTGTGTGTGTGTGTGTGTGTGTGTGTGTGTGTGTGTGTACTCACCTATATGTACTCACCTATATGTGCTTGCAGGATCGAGCATTGACTCTTGGATCCCGCCTTTCTAGCTATCGGTTGTTTGCTATTTGATTTTTCTACTACTCTCACGCTAAAAGAAAACTTCTTAACATCTCTGTGACTCATCTGAGTTTCCAGTTTCCACCCATGTCCCCTCGTTCTGTTATTATTACGTGTGAACATTTCATCTAACTTTGTCAGTTCCCCTGAGTATTTTATATGTCCCTATCATATCTCCTCTCTCCCTTCTTTTCTCTAGTGTCGTAAGGTTCAGTTCCTTCAGCTTGTGTGTGTGTGTGTGTGTGTGTGTGTGTGTGTGTGTGTGTGTGTGTGTGTGTGTGTGTGTGTGTGTGTGCGTGTGTGTGTGTGTGTGTGTGTGTGTGTGTGTGTGTGTGTGTGTGTGTGTGTGTGTGTGTGTGTGTGTAAAATATTACAGAAACACAGGTTAGTACCCTAATATCCAAGCAACTTGTGTACTTGACAACATTTTGATTCATTGTTATCTTAATTATCATTAGATTTGGGAACATTAGCGGCAATAATGGAATCATTATATTTCGTTACCATCATTAGGGTCATTTAGAGCATCATTAACGTTATCATCGGTTACATATATGAGGAGAATCATGAGCATTGAGAATATCATCATACCATGATGGTGACAAGCAGTAGGGGGGGCATCATCATCATCATAGCCAGCACACATCACCGGTTTCATCATCGCCAGGATCACCATCGACACCATCGGGGGTTGGAGCAGCAGCAGCAGCAGCAGCAGGACGCAGCAGCAGCAGGAGCAGGACGCAGCAGCAGCAGGAGCAGCAACATATTTAACAGCGTCGACCCGGCAGTAACAGGGCAATTGTATAGGAAGAAGGGGGAGGAAAAATGACATTATTAGATTGTCTAATACGAGAAATTAGGAGCCATAACAACCTTACCTAACGTCATCTTTAATTTATAAATAGACAATAATTTATGGGACATCAATCATAGAATAATACCAATTAAGAACTGGTATAATCCATAGTTCTTACTTATCAACAAAGAATACGTGTTAAATCCTGAATAACGATATTTATATTAAGTTGCAAGCCTAGCGTGCGCGGGGCAGAGTGAATTAACACCTTTGCTGGCCAGATACACATCTAGTTTAAATACGATAACACACGGGACTCATAATTATTTTTATATTTCAAGGTAAAAATACAAAAAATAAAGTTTGCGAGGTGTGCATTAACACAATGTCCTCTACGCCATTCGTTCTAAAGCCTCTCCCAGAAAAAAATATTCGAGATGGTTTATCTCGGGAATCGAAATTGTAGAGAAGTTCTCGCATAAGGAGATGCGAGGATGTTGTCTGGCCATCTACGGGGATCATATCTCTCGTCCATCCTGATGTAGGCCTCTCAGCGTTCACTCTAAATGACCTTTGTACCCAGCACGCATTCTCATGACTCGTCTGAATCGCAAATTTAGAAATCTTAATAGTTGTACACAATGAAATTTTATTGTAATATAGAGGCGAAGATTATTTTTTATTTATTTATTTATGTAATTCATTTTATTGTATAACATCGTACAAAATTGAGACTTATGGCAAAATCAAAGGCAAAAGCATATTGGAGAAAATAGATTTATCCCGTCATAGCGTCGGTGTGACTTTATGATATAAATAAAATCTATGACAAGAGTTACCATGATTCTCTGAAACTCACGACCACTCGGTCATATTCTACTTTTGTTTTAAACCATGAAACAGGCTGCAACGGTTGATAAATTTTGTCAAGTGTAAGATTCATCCAGAAAATGACAACCTCGCGAGATGTCCACCAATTCTTGGTTTAATTGTTTTGTTCACTCAGATTGACCGTCTCCATGTACCCGGAGGAGGACTGGAACAGGTGGTGTGGAGGCCAAAAGGTGTGACAGATGTGCGACACATAGGAACGAGGGTGAATCCCATTCTGCCCCGGCACGCTGGGGAGTGCAGGTGTGCAGGGGTGCAAGGACTCGCGCGAACGCAGAGTTCCATCCACGCACTCTCTCAGTGGGAAGCAAGAGCTGCATTTAACTACGGTGATGCCCAAGAATTGTACACCAAAGCGGTATCACTCAGGAGCTGTCCTCGCTAAAAAATGAAACGTTAAATAAAATATAACAAACCAGTTCTCCCAGGGAAGGAGATATAGCATGGATGACAGTGCGTAATGTTTGCTGTGCTGACCTCAGCGAGCTGCTGAACTACCATCAATATCAAGGCAAAGGAACAAGGAAAATTGGCCTTGTTCCAGTGTTTCATCAAAATTCTAAAACTCTTGGAAGTAAATTGAATATGGTTATGTTGGACATATAACAGTATATATAACCAAATTTAGAACATTTTTGTTTACTAAGAGTCACGAGCAAGCATTGCGGTACCCACTGTCGTCTCAGCTTGCCTCCCTGAGAGCTCTTTGAGTTCTAATATATATATATTTTTTCAGAGTCTAGGGCAGCAGTGCAAAACTAAAGGGAAAACATATGGTCCAGCCCTCCAGATCATCGCCTGAGGTGGGCACAGTCTTCAACCAGCTCCTCTTCTACGAGTCCAACTCTAACTTAGAGAGAGACACTTAAGCTGCAGGAGAATCACACAGGGTGCCTGTGGGTGCAGGAGATCTGTCACTACATCTGATGAGCTTAGTAATTAGCGATCAAGGAACACCTCCCTCTGGCGTGATCCGGAGTGTTGGCCTTGCAGGTGCCATCGTGTGCGTCTATCGAAGTGCCCCAAGTAAAGTTGTCAGAGGGAGGAACAAAAATGGAAAAACAGTCATTTTGTAAACAGCGGAATCTGTACAGCAAGAGTATAAAAAATCTTATCACTGAAGCTGAAATCTTAAAATTAATCATTAGAGGTGAATTATAGTATTTTTCCTTTTATATTTTGTGTTTTAAATTAAA